GGCGATGATGCGCAACTCGGCTAGGATCAGCTTCTGTTAACTTGCTAATAAAGGTTAGCTTATTATTAGGTTATGTCTTTAAGACTTACCTTCTAAATTCGAGAAATGATTGTGAGTTTAGTGATAGATAGTCAGAGAAATGTTTTCCCTACTCGATGGAAATTTAATGGAATAAACAGCAATAAGAAATATATGTGTTAATTATTGAATCAGTGCATTAACCCTTCCACTTTCCACGCATTCTCCCACACAACGTCTAGTGGTTTTCTTAGTTAATAGTGCATAGTCCATGGTAATTGCAAAGCTTTGTAAATAAAAAAAAAAAAAAAAAAAATGGGCTAATTATATGTCACTCGACTATCGTAATTGCAATTTACAATTGTTCCAATCAATCATTTGACGAATCGATTAATGTTCTACAAAATCAACAACATACGGGCTTATCATTATTATTATTATTAACTTGTTCTAATATACATGAATTTCCAGAGACATTAATCTATTGTATTATCTATATATCTATATTATCTATATATCTATATATCTATATTATCTATTGTATCTATTGAGATGTTAATCTAATTAGTATCTGGATAATGTAAATGCAAGAGTAAAAATGAAAAGGATATTTAAAATATTTCATAGCTGTTACTCTCGTATAAATCTCTTAAAACGCATATGTGGAAATTAAATTATTCATACGTGTGACTCACATAGATTATATATATTTCATCGAAATCAATTGAATAACTGAATGTAAAATAATTTCAGAATATTTATCAATATCCTCAACATTTCTAAGATTAAAGAATTCAATCGTTTAAAATAATTCAATTGTCATTTTAAGTATTCTCGACATACTTAACGTTCATTTGACATTTGTGTAAGTCTTGAACATATTTAAATTCACAAAAATCCGCTTAATATCGACAATGATGATGATATATATATATATATATATATATATATAGAATAAATTATTTATATGCTAAGATCAATAGGTCACAACGTATGTTGTAAAAATAAAATTCAATATTTCAAATTCTATAGTTATGATCAAATATTATTACTAACTGTAAATATCCTTATAACTTATTAAAATTGCAGAATTCGAATGGCTTAGCATAGGAAAAGCACTAGATAGGGACAATGGTCAGAGAGAATTAATAAAGTTCGGAGTTTTTCAGTGAAACCAATATCAAGACAGTTGATTGAAAAACTCTGGTCTTTGGAAAATTAATTTTTCGTGAAATATGCACACTCCCCTCGACTACACGATGATAATGAAACTTGCAATGGATAACTTTCCATTCGAAAGTGACCGATAAAACGTTGTTACATCAAAATTTATCTTTCCCTTGTATGGTTATACTTACCAGTTGAGGCTATTCACCGTTGTCGCCGCTTTTCCAAATTTCGTAACTCAAAATACGGAGGGCAAATGCGTCGATAATGTAGCGTGCGTCGGTAAAGAAGAAATCCGCGAGTGCCTGTTTTATCGGATGGGAGTGCCCTTAGTGACGGTTGATTACGTTAAACGAAGGCCGAGTAAATGTTTATGTATTTCGATTGATCGGCAATTCATAACGTAATATATCGCACTTTTAAATATTAAATACATAATAATTACGCTCAAATACCATTTAATTCAATAACGCTTAATGCTCCAAATACAATATTATTGATTAATTTTGTCGTTCCAATGTTATGCAAAAACAATTTTTAATTATACTCTCAACAATAGATATAATAATAGATAAAACTTTGCTATTCGTCAAATAATTGAAGGATAGATCAAATGTGATAAAAGCCTAATTTAGCCAAATAACAAATTTACTGGAAAAAAAAAAATACAAATCTTAGTGACAATGTTTTTTTTTGTTGCAATAATTAAGCAGAATTTGCATGGTAATAAGCAGAAAATTATATGCAAAATCAATATTGAAAAAAGATAAATTACTCTATGTTATTATTAATTACGAAAGTGTTAAAATATCAGAAAGACTTTCCGTAACCTCGAGTATCATATAATGTTGAGCTTCGATAACAGACTTACATCACAACATGTGTCATATGCTAATTACATCTGCTCGCCGCTACTATTAATGATCCTTCGTCATTTTAATGCAATGTAGCGTTCAATCGTTTAAACCAAATCTCACTTAATTTTCTCATTCGCGTCATTTTTGCAGTTCAGCCATAAAATTGCATAGATAAGCGAGCGTCAGAGCTCGGAGAAAGAGGGAGAATAGGGTGAGAGAGATGTATAAAATGGAAGAAAAAAGACATAGATGATGAAAAGGAGGGGGGGGGGGGGGGAGAATAAGAAAAAGAAGGACGAAGCGCGACCTCGCAGTAGGAATATGCGGCAGGAGCACCGTGTATTACTTATGGGAATGTCAGCGGGCTCTTTCTTCCTGTCGGGCGGACGATGCAGGCGACAATGCCAATACCGGAGCCGCTACATCGTCGTCGTCGTCGTCGTCGTCGTCGTGGTCATGGTCGTCGTCGTTGTGGTCGTGGTCGTGGTCGTCGTTGTCGTCGTCGTGATCGTCCTCACGGACATAGACAGCGACTGCGACGACGGCACTACCGCCATTGTGGACAACGGGTTGCTTAGGATTCCCGAGCACGAATACGGACAACTTCTTCGAGGCAAACTCGCCGCCGCAGCACTAACTGTGATTTTTACGAGATCCTTAATAAGTCTTAAAAGAAGCTACTCGTTCCTCCATCTGAATCGTGAAAATCCGGGGAAACCTTTGTCTTGGCGAACTTGCACCAGTGACCATGCAACAGTTTCGTGTTTTGCTGGCCATGGTAGTGATGGTAATCCGATAATGATGGCGTGCTATGGGTGTCGGACTCGTGCGGTGTCCATTACACTTCACATCCATGGCGTTTATTCTTACAAAATACATTGGATCGCTGTTTTGCTTTTAGTTAATAGCTCTGGTATAATATAATGCACCGCATTATTTATCGATGCGTCAATGTATCTTGATATCCAACGTCGTATGTATTTCTTCAATATTAAAATTCCAATCTCAGGCATTTTTATATTAATGGGGTAACGAACGAAAAGGGTGAATGAAAAATATCACAGAAAAAAATCATTATAAATTATGATGATCATATCATTGTAATTTGTTCGAGTTTATTGTAATATACAAGAAACAATGATATAATTGTTAAACGTGGATTAATTAATTTTCATCGATCAATCACCATGATTTTCCTACCGTTTTTCCTCTCTTTAACGACTCGTCTTTATGTATTATTCGTTATTAATGAAGTAGGGAGTGAAGTAACGATATAAAATTAGACTACGGCTAAGAATTATTTATCAGTACTGTTAATACTTGACAGGGAGATGATATTAGCAAGCTGTATTATTACATTACATTACATTCTATTATTTCCGACATAGGCAATAAATACGCAAAGTAAATAATTGTATTCGTATATTGTTAATGCAATTATGTAAGCTATTAATTGCATAAAGGAAAAACAATTGCCGATTATGAATAGTTTAATCAAATTTTTACGACAAAATTCCACAACTTATTCCATTAACAATATTTGCCAATATATATATATATATATATAGATATACGTGTACGTGTGTGTATATATAATTTACTATTCGATGACTAAAAATTCATTCACATAAATTGAATTTGCTTGTGCAATCAAAATATTGTCTAACTCAGCAGAAATTTCAAACTGTTGAAATTTGACTTGCCATAATTACAGCCTACAACCTTCGAGAAAATTATAATTATTCTTTTCTCTAATATTATAAAATGTTGCCACTCGGGATGTACAAACTTTTGCATATTAAGAATCGTCCATAATTATCAGCATTGCATACACACATGTAATATTGAATGAACACTGGTATTTATAATCAATAACACGATACAATCAATAATATAACGAATAGACAAAAATTAACTTTCCTTATACCAACATACCTTTAAATTATTTATATATTTTAATCTAATTTAATAATAAATTGCGTTTAGATATCATAATAGTTGTTATTAAATTAAAAGTTAAATATATAATATGACTAGTGAATAAAAGCACAACGTAATCATCAAGTGAGTGTACCGAATTTTTTAAAAATAAAGTCAGATTATTTTTCATTAAAAAAGCCAATGTTTACTAGATATTATTATTACAAATGTGGATTGAAAAAAAAAAAAAAAAAAAAAAAAAAAAAAAAAAAATCAGCATCTAATAGAAAATTTAAAAAATATTTCGTGTGCATGTAATGTACGTATACAAAGTTACTTCTTCCATGAACGTTTCAAGCATTCTTAAGTGGTAATCAACTTTTGAATACCAAGCAATGAAGATTTTTTCATGTAATAAATACCAAGGAGTCAATAATTTTGTCAATAGATACTGTCGTGTTGTAGCAGCGTGTGGGCAAAACAATGCTACGTTATCAAATAATTTACCATGCATCTGCTTAACCAAATGCTGCTGAAAATAATTCGCAAAGTAGTAAAATCTGCTATTGTTGTTGTTGTTGTTGTTGTTGTTTGTTGTTGTTTTTGTTTTTGTTTTTGTTGTTGTTGTTGTTTTTGTTTGTTGTTGTTGTTATTAATGTATCTCAAGATACACGGGCATTATCATGACAATGATAATTGCCGAGATTAAAGTCACAGGACAGCTAGTTTAACGATACAGCAGAGTACAGGAGCCAATAAAGTAAAATGCAATTCCCGATAGAAGTGAATTTCCATAGGCCATTACTCAATAACGCACACACGAAACCTTGATCGATCCACTCGCCGACGATCCACCAACCCTTCGCTCTTACACATTAGCCACCATTGGACGACTTTCGACCATCGTCACTCCACGTCAAATATTCGGCATATTCGACATCCGCTCCGCAGAACCTTTTGCAAAATAAGAAGAAAAGACCAGCCCACAACATCGCCTAGAAAAGCATCCGCGGCTCAAGAAGTAACATCGTGTCTTACCGCAGACGTCGTGTTGTGCACCCCGTGAACTTTGGTGCTACGTTCGTGCATGTCCTCGAGGCCCAGACCGGACATACCAGCCAGGCAGCAGTCGGCGACATCGCCGTTCGTTCCGAGTCCGCCGTTACCGCCACCATCGTTGCCACCATCGCTGCCTCCACCGCCGATACCACCATTGCCACCATTGCCACAATTGCCACAATTGCCACAATTGCCACCATTGCCACCATTGCCACCATTGTCACAATTAACGCCGTTACCGCAATTGCCGCCGCCACGTTCTCTCAGGACGTTGTTGCTGCTCGTGTTGGTGGTGTAGCCTTGATCGGAGCTCGCATTCGAGTTGGGTCGCGAGTCGTCCGAGCTGTCGAAGGGCTTGAGGTTCCGGGGCCGCTGGATCACTCCGATCGGCTCCCAAATTTCGCTCGTCGTCGATGAGTAACTATTGTTCTCCTTGGTCTCGCGGCTCCGCTCGTCCACGATTTTACCGTCGCGGGCGACCGTCACCTCCTCCTTAGTCACCACCGACGATTTCACATTCAGCGACGTCTCCAAGCGAACTGGTACCCTTTTGAAGATCGATTTCATCCATTCATTTTCATTATCTCTCTTTCTCTTTCTCCGCAGGAGGATATCGTTTTATTTGTTTTATTTATTTATTTATTTATTTAATTTTTTTTTTTTTTAATTTTTTTTTTTTAATTTTTTTTTTATCTCCGGTAGAATTCTAGTGACTTTTTACATTATTTGCAACAGCCAATGTTCAATCGATATCGATTAACTCCGATACATTTGGTTTAACCGCGCGAATTATTCCATGGATTTAACGAATTCAATGAGTTTTACATACATGCTCTTTTAAATTAATGCACTTACCTCCATGAAATACCCTCTATTATTTTCGCCAATTCAATTTAAATTCTCGAAAGATCGAACCTAATGCGCATTATATCGTTCGATTAATCTATTAGCAAAGTAAATCGAGAGATTAATGAAGATACAAATTGAACATTAAATCCAAGGTTTAGTAAGATTATCCCATCGCGTACGACAATCGATAGTCTTAATCTCGAGAGTGTTACTCGCATTTCATAAAACCGTTGACAAAGAAAGTGCTCGCAAAGTACCGTAAAGGCTGTTATTTAAAATTGTAATTAAGGTGAAATGTCGCTAGACTTCTACCATAATATCGCTTCATGTTACATGTCATTGATTTCAATATCGATATGCAATATCAATTGAATATAAACGAATCTTACGATCGAATATACGGAGCGTCGACGATCCACGCGTTTATCGCAAGCGAGCGAGAAAGTCCAGATGATTTAAAGCATAAAAATCCCGGACAAACTAAATTTAGTGAGCGCGCACTCGAGTGATTTACAGAGAGCACCAGATGCTTCGTCTTTCGCTCATTTTTCAATTTTCTACGTAGAGTATATGCAGACGGCTCGAAATGTTTTGATGAAGACTTAATCATAAAGCAAAGAATAATTAGGTGTAGAAAAAGGATTTTGGTTGGCTTGATATTTCAGCGGGAAACGTGTTTCATAATGACTTTAATGACTTGTAACATGCTGTTAACCGACGAAATATCATTTCACTTGATTCATCAGTAGCAGAAACATATAAATTACACGCATTTTTTTTCTTTTTTTTTCTACGCAATCTCTGTTAGTGCGTTGTCTTTCCGTTTGTTTCATCTTTATTCCTCTTTATTTTTTTCCCTCTTTTTCCCTTTTTTTCCCCCCCTTCCCCCCCCCCCCCCCCCCTTTTTTTTTTTTTTTTTTGTCTTAATTTAACAAATTGCGCTCAATTGACACGATTTTCCCGGTTTGTTTGTTTACACTTAGGTGGAAAGACATTATTTGATTTGAAAAGGAGCCCTTAAAGGAGATGAAAATTTAAACTTACTCGATATCAACTTTAACGCATTACAGGGATTATTGATATGTTAGAAGAGGTATTTCCCGATACAAGCACGCTTATTAAATTCTAATATTTTCATGTAATATCCATAATTTAGATAGGAAATTAATGTAATGTAATCGCCTCGAGCACATTAATTCATTTTATTTTCTCATACGCATTACTTTTAAAGATACTTAAAATTACTCGAGATACGATAAGCACGTTTCATTTTACGTTTATTACCTGTGATCTACATTTACTGTCTGATCTAAATCTTGGCAATAGAAAAGAAATGTAAAACATAAACACGTTTCACTTCCCGCCGACACTGTCTATATAATTGCAGTAATTAATTTACAAACATTTTTCTCAAGATTATTAACCTCTTCATTTTTTCTCTTAACCCCCCCCCC